GTGTTGACCCCACTGCACTGGAGTTTGAGCGACAGAGCAAGACACTATCTCAAAAAATTATTTTATATATATGTCTGTCTGTGTATATATATATACATATATATGTATATATGTGCATATATACATATATATATATATATATATATATATTCTTTGAGTACATTAAAGGCAGGAGTCTTGACTAGGGGTTATAAACCCTGAATTCCATCCAGCCTTTGCCAATAGCTGTGGCCTGGGTAAGTTTCTTTTCCTCTCTGGGGCTGAGTCTCCACCACTGTAAATGAAAGTTAAGATCTGTTCTGAGCCCTGCTATACACCAGAACTGCCTGGGCAGCTCTATCCTGTGAGATTGGTTCTGTAGGTCTCAGGAGAGCCCCAGGCATCCGCATACAGGGGTATTGAGGTCTGTTCAGCCAGATGGTCTTCCAGCCCTTTCAGTTGAGCCTGGCAAGGTTGAGTGACCGGGTAACAGTGGCTTGCTTTCAATGATGAGGGATTGTGTCCCATGGGAAACTGGCCCTTGCCTGGTCATCAAGCCTGACTTATCCTCAAGTCCCACTCCTATTCCTCCAGCTTGGTCTGCAGCAGAAGAGGAGCGACTCTCCTTGCTTTAGGAACAACACAGAGTGGGGTTAAAAATGCTGTCCCTGGATTTTCTGTTTTAAAGCTTTAGCTGGAGGAACCAACTTTTTATTTCTTTTACAACTGAATTCTGCCCTTACTCCTCTTTTTGTAACCTGAAGGGAGATCACCTGGGGGTGACTCCAGCCTCAGAAAGATTGAGGAGAAATGATTTTTAAGTGGTAAGATAAAATAGTTAGTCTCTCAATTTGGATGGTGGTTCTGTGGTGGGCATTTTCCCTCTCCACCCTGGCACCCAGGGTGGGAATGAGCTGAGGCAGATTTAAATTTCTAGATTGGGCCCCTGTTTCCCCAAGTCATGCTCAGTCACATCCCAGCAGCTGGCTCTCCTGTCACTTGGTATGTTCTCAGGGGAGGCAAACTCATTTCAGTATAAACTCAAGCAAAGTATAATTAGGACAGTAAATCTGCTCTTTAGCAGAAAAAGTCCTCTGACAGATATAAAGGTCTGAGAGAAGTGACGTGAGGCTAAGGAAAGGTGAAAGGCCTGGCCTTGGATTTCATTGCTTCTAGCCTGGGAATAAAATCCAAAACACAATAACCCCATTTGCTCCAGAAAATGCAACATGACTTTTTAAAAAGTCTGTTATATGACAATCTGAGGTGGCAGGAATAGGGATATGACTTTCTAAAAGTCTTTTTTTTCTTCCTGTGCCTTGAAAGTAACTGTAACCCCAACTTTCACCATCTGTCACCACTCTCACAACTATCTCTTAGTCATTTACCACTCATCAGGCAGTGTATTATGGGCTGTGCACACATTGGGTCTTTCTTTTGTTTTTAATTTTTTTTTTTTTTGAAGATGGTGTCTTACTCTGTCACCCAGGTACCATCAGGACTCACTGCAGCCTTTTTTTTTTTTTTTTTTTTGAAACAGAGTCCCAGTCTGTCACCCTGAGTAGTGTGCCATGGTGTCAGTGTATCTTGTAGCAATCTCCAACTCTTGGGTTCAGATGATCCTCTTGCCTCAGCTTCTCAAGTAGCTAGGACTACAAGTACCAACTCCCAGCTAGTTTTTCTATTTTTTAGTAGAGATGGGTTCTTGCTCTTGTTTAGGCTGGTCTCAAACTCGAGCTATCTATGGGCCTTGGCCTCCCAGAGTGTTAGGATTACAGGCATGAGCCACCACACCCAGCCTCACTGCACCCTTGAATACCTGCCTCAGCCTCCTGAGTTGTTGGGATGACAGGCATGTGCCACTATGCCCAGCTGTAGGTGCTCGTGTTTTCATTCAGTCTACACGACAGCCTTGTGAGGCAGGGTTATGATCCATTAAACCTTATTTTAGGGAGGAAAAAACTGAGGTTCAGAGGGGAAAGTGACAGGGTTGCACAGTATGTGATCCGGGAGCTAGATTTGAAGTCATGCTTTTAACCTTTGTTAAAGGTTACAGCACAGCAGTAGCAGTGCTACTGCTGCTTGGTCTGAAAGAGCCACAAACCATAACACTGAGCTCAGAGTTACAATGCCACACCACCAGCCTGTCATCCTTTTCCTCACGTTCCTTCTTGGCTAGGTTTGTACTTCTGTAAATCTCAGGCTTAGTGGCCACTGAGATACTGCTTGCTGCTGAGCTCCCATCTGGGTCACTTCTGGGTTGTGGAGAAGAAATGAGCATCAGTCCAGACTAGCTGCCTGGCCAGTCATGTGACCTTCTATGGGGAGGAGGACTTTTAGGCAAAAGAGGGCCCAAATGCCCAGACCCTGGTCTCTCCTGCAACTCACTTGAGTGGCTGTAGGCAGGCCATTTATTCCCTATGAGCCTCAGGGTCCCAGGCCAAAAAAGGGAGGCCAAGAGAGGGGCCTGTGGGAATCTGTAAAACGTCTTGGATACCCTAAGGAGGGACAGGTGTCTGTCTTTTTGCCATAGAAGTTTGCCTGCAACAGGATACTGCTTCCTCCAGAAAGTATTCTGCCTAATAGCACCTGGCCTGGTTCTGCCTCTTCAGCATTTCCATTACTAAATTTGCACTGTGTTTGCCTTTTTTATGAATATTTTTAAAAGAATACTGGTTGCCTTCCCTGAGGGTTTGTCCTCTCCAGATGGTCCTAGGGCTCCCCAAGCTCAGGGAGTGACCCTGCCTGGCCAGGCTGTGTCTCTCTTTCCTCCCTTTGCTTCATGTCTCCCAGTTGTTTTGGCCCAAACTAATCAGGCCTGCTCATCTCCGACAGGCAGGTCCTGCTGACCTTCCTCTGGTGGACCATCCTGATCAGCTGAGCTTGCCTCGCTCTCTTGTTATTTCCGGGCAGGCTTCATAATCTCTTGGACCTCTCTCTTTCCTGGGAAGATGTTCCTGGTGGGCCTGACAGGAGGCATCGCCTCTGGCAAGAGCTCAGTAATCCAGGTGTTCCAGCAGCTGGGCTGTGCGGTGGTTGATGTGGATGTCATTGCCCGGCATGGTGAGTTGGAGGAGGTCAACTAGGGCTTGTACATGGCCCTCCCCCGTGCTTCCTTTCTTTATTGTGCCTCCCTTTTTTTAAGTCTCAGAGGAAAGAAGACTTGCCCTTTCTGCCTGCTCTTTGCTCTTCCCTCTCTTTAGATGTCTCCTCCCAAACCCAGCTTGCCCCATTACGAACAGAAGAGATTCTATGCACTCTGTTCTTTTCCTTAACTGCTTTCCTTCCCCTCATTTGTTTTGCTCCACCTGAAAGAAGCACCCTGGGTTCCCTATAGTCTTGTCTCTAATCAGTTGCTGGCCTAATGGCTCCAGAGAGTGACTCAGTTTCCTCTTCATGCCACAGTTGTCCAGCCAGGATACCCTGCGCACCGGCGCATTGTGGAGACCTTTGGCACTGAGGTCTTGCTGGAGAATGGTGACATCAATCGCAAGGTTCTGGGGGACCTGATTTTTAACCAGCCTGACCGACGGCAGCTGCTCAATGCCATCACTCATCCTGAGATCCAAAAGGAAATGATGAAAGAGACCTTCAAGTACTTCCTTCGGGGTAAGACCCAGGGCCCGGGCCAGGGGTGGGAGCAAAGTCCTCTCTTTCCAGGGCCAAGACCCTTCTTCTCTGCAGAAATTTTGGCCGTGGGTAGGGAACAGGTCATTGAGGCTGATCAGTTCACACTGCTTATGGGCACCCTCCGCTATGCAGACCCCCACCAGCCCCAGAGGAAAGAAGCACATGTCCCTCAACTCTTAAGAAGGTTGACAATTTAATGAGAAGAGACACAAGAGGTTTTTGAGCCATGATCCCAGGAAGTAAGTTGGTGTTTCTAATAGGGATGGGAGTAATAATAGATGGTGAATAATGGAGTCGTAGACCTAAGTCAAATCTTAACCCTGACATTTTCTAGCCTTGTGACTTTGTCGAGTGATCCAACCCCACTTCTGTGCCGTGGGGATAATAATGCCAACATGAAAATCTATTAGGAGGACCTAGAGTCTATGTCAGTGAGAGTTATTACCCAAATATAAGCTGCGGTCAGTTTTGGTGCTGGTTGAGCTACCTGGGTAAGCAAGGTTATAGCGTGAAAGTTGGGGAAGAGGACAAGGTGGCCAGGATAGCCAGCAGAAGGGTTCCAAGTGGGGGATAATTCTCTAGGGCTACAGCCCCATGGAGAGGGTTATCCCAGCAAGCTCAGGGACAGCCAGGTGAAGTACCAAGACAGAAAAGAGGAAGAGTGTTTGAAAAGCAGGAGTCTGGCGTCTGGAGTCTGCCAGCCCTTGGCTTATGTGTCCTCCCAGCCTGGGCCTCCAAATTCAAGGCCTGGCTACCCATCTCCCTGTTGTCAGGCCTAATGCTGAGATGTTCCTTCTTGGAGGGCATGGGGAGGACTTTTAGATTTTCTTTGGTCTTTTACACTGTGATCATGGCCAAACCCCTCACTTATTCTGTCATGCCTCAAGTGGGAACCTCCCCTTGCTTCCATTGCCAATACTTCCCTCCAGAAGAGGGATGATTTGACAGGCATCCATGATGGTGACCCTCCTCCGTCTCCTCTGGCCAGGGCTAGAGCTGGCTCAGCATCCCCCCTGCTGGACCCGCTTTGCTCTTCTTCATCTCAGCACCTTGCCATAGGCCTTCTTCCCTTCCTCCACCCTCAAGAATTCTCTGGTCTTTCTCTGCCTTTGTCCTGCTTCATGTGTCTGTGCCAGCACCTCTCCCACCCCCCACCCAAGAGCATAGTCTTCTGCCTTTCATTCCTGCCCTTTTGCATTCACTCCCAAGCCAATTGCAAGTGCATCTGCAGGGCTTCAAGACGGCAGCAGCTCTCCTTTTCTGAAATTAAGCATTGGATAATGTCACCCGCTCCAAAGCTCTCCCTCTGTGTCATCCACCCAGCCTCCCGCCTCCCCAGCCACCACCACTTAAATAAAAGCTAGAAAGCGCTTTTCAGCTCGATAAGGTGAAAAATGGGGACGACAGCTGTGGCTTCCACAGTCGCAGTTTTTCCCTGATGAGTATAACAAATACAACTGTCAAAATTGGTATAATCAAACGTCAGATAAGATCACCAGCTGTTGGGGACTTCTCTGTGTAGGCAGGCGGATGTCTTAATAGAGTCAGGATGGTTTGCAGAGCTTATCAAGCAGGAGGGATGTGACAGCTGAATAGCCCTTTGCCAGTGAACCTGAGAGCTGGCCAGAAGCTCCCAAGGGGGCCCAGGGAAAGGACAGTGAGGGGAGAGAAGGCAGTGTGAGCAGAGCAGGAAAGGGAGATAAGAGGCCCAAAGAGGAACTGGTTTTGGCTCCTGCTCCAAGTTGGGGGGTACTGGAGAGCTGGCCTCCCTCCTGCAGTAATAACCATCATTTATGGTATAGTTAGGAGGGGCTGGGGGGGGCTGCTGTGTAGTTTACATGCATTCAAAACTCATGACCTCATCCTGTGAAATAGGTATTCTTTTAACTTATTTTCACAGAGGTTTGTTAAGGCAGCCCAAGGTCACCTGGTGAGGAGGCAGGGGGACTACCAACTAAGGTAGCCATCAGAGCCCATGCTCTAACCTCCTTGTTGAACTACAGGCTTCTCTTGGGCTGAGGAGCAGGCCCTGGGGAATAGGAAACCATACAGCTGAGGTTGTCACCCCATCCCCTGTGTCACCTTGAATGCAAAGGTCACTGGTGTGAAGAGACCCAGGAGCATGTGGCCTACGGTTTTTCTGGGCTCACTCATAGTGGGTGGGGTGCCACCTTTGACCAGTATTGGCTTCTAGAGGCTGGCCAGTCTTCTTGCCCCCTATGGTGAGTTGTGTAGTAGTCATAGTAGCAGTCATAAGCACTCCCACTGCCTCCAACCCAGACCCACGACTCCTGGCTGTAGGTCTGCCTCTGATGGGAGAAGCAGCCTCTTTCCTTTTAGGGCTGCTGCTGCCACCCATATGAGTCTTTCATGGAGTATCAGCAGAAATAGCCAAAGGTGACTCTTCTTAGCAGGGGCTGGGCCTGGACCTGGCTCTAGGGAGAGAACCTATCCTTTGGGAGTTTTTTTGAGCAAAGTTGGGATGAAATAGGGCTGAGAGGGCCCAGCTGCCCCTGGAAGCTCTCCCCAGTCTCCTGCAGCTCTGGCTGTGTCATTTCCCTGCTGAGAAATAACAACCCTTTGGGTTCAAGATCAAGGTGAACTAGACCATTTGTGTCTACCCTGATGTCTCCTCAGCCTTGCCTCACATTGCCTGACAGTAGAGCCTCCCTACTCCTTGGGCTTTGCAGGTCCTCATTCCTTGAATCCTCGCTTCCACCTTTTCATTTTCAAGTACCAAAAGTCCTGCCTACTTTTCAAGGCCAGCACAAGGGGCAAGCCTACAAAGTCTTTCCTGATCAGCCAGCCAGAAATGATTTTCTGCAGTATCCTATGCCGAATGGTATTGGAACTGGCTAGTGTTCAGAGTATGTCTGTTCTTGGAAGGTCTGCCCCTTTGCTGAGCACTCTAGATGGTGGGGCCAACAGTTTCATCTCAGTTCCCTCACCTAGCATATAGTCAATTTCCAATGTATGCTTGCAAACTTGAACTTGTGGATTTTCCAACCTCCTCCTAGGATACCGCTATGTAATTCTGGATATCCCCCTGCTATTTGAGACCAAGAAGTTGCTCAAGTACATGAAGCATACGGTGGTGGTATACTGGTGAGTGTGTGGCATGCTGAGGCTGAAAAGGAGGACCCCTGGGAAATGGCCCACACTACTTCTTCTTTGCCCTTCCCCACAAGGCGGCTAGGAGGGGTTTGGGCAGTAGTGCCTAGAGTCTATAGAACCAATTTTTGGGCAGGACCCAATTGCTCCTGGGGACAGGTATGGGAAGAGGTGGGTCCCCAGGCCTTTCTAGCGTTTGGGGAGGGCTCCCCCTGCTGGCCACTGAAAGCACTTCAGCCCAGCTGCCAGGCCTTGCCCCCTTCCCTCCTGTCGTTCAGCAGCTCCCTTCGCCCTCCTCTAGCGCTTCACAACCTTCCGAACAACTCCCAGGTTTGTTACTTCACACAGTTTACCTTTCAGACTGAGGTGGTCAGGGTAAGGGGAGGGGATACAAATTTGTCCAGGGTTACCCATTGGCAACACCTATGAATGGGAAGTCGCATGAAAGAGTTCTGTCAGAGCCCAGCTAAGGAAGGAACTTTATTCTGAGTCCCCCAGGACATGCAGCAAACCAGAATCCAGGTTTAGCAAACAGGAGGATCAAACCGTGGGAGAAAATGAGTCATAGACCCAGCAGGGTGAGAAAATAGATGAAGCTACATGGTATCTTTGCCACCCAGAAACTTCCGGATGCCACCCACAAGTACAACAGACACATAGGTGGGCACTTAGCTCTGCAGGTATTTTGGGCACAGGGTAGCTCTCAAAAGACTACTGCGTTGGAGGCCCTTACCCTGGAGTCCCCCGTGGGCTGTCATTTAAAACCCAGTCTGAATCCCTTGAGCTGTGCATTGGGCCTCCAGGGGTCCTCTGAGCACCCCCTACTGGATCGTGTCTCTTCATGAAAAACTGCAGCCTCTCTGGGTTTTTTGTTCCCTGTTTGTAAGACCATCAGCTAAGACCAACTAGACCCCCTAAAGACTAGAAATTCTCTTTGCCTTAGTAACACAATTGGAATTTTGTACCTAGAGATAAAATTTTTTTACAAAAGCATCTTAAGTCTTAGAGTGTAGGTAAGAAGATAGAACAGGAGCCAAGTGCATTGCAATCCCCAGATGACTGTGCTACCCCTGCCACCCTCCTCTTCCTACACTTTCCTTTGAGGTTGGTCTGTTTGCTGAGCAGAGATAGCTAGGCCTCTGGTAGATGAGTGATCCTGCCTGATCCCTAGGAGATCTTTAGCCCCACTCACTAGCCAAGGGAGCCTTTGCCAGAATCCTGGGTGCTGTTCATGTTTGCTTTCAGCACATGTGGGTACAAATCCCAAGAGAGGCCAGAAAGAAGAGTGATTGTTTTGCTTATTGCCAAAGGGATCTGCACTTTATAAAAATAAGGATCCTCTTGTGGATTTCTTTAACCGGCAAACTACCCCTGGTGCATGTGAAATGACATAGGGCATTTCCCAAAGTGTGATTATACTAGAACATGATTATTCTTGTTTTTGAGGAATTTGCCAATTGTAGGTAAGCATTTGGATTAAAAAAAAATCCCATTACTACGATAGCACCATGCTTTAAACTAACTGTAATGGAACCGTTTCTCAGCCCCAGGAAGGGCTGTTGGAAGTGCTGTCTTCACATCCCAAGAGGCCCTGTAGTCTGGAATTCACCTTGAGAAGGTTGTGCACTCACAGGGAGCCCTGAGCCATCTCTAGTCTCTCACCAGGTTTTCCTAGCCACAGATCTGTGGTACTCCTGGCAAAGACAGGATGTAGTCCTTGTTCTCAGCCAGGTAGGGATTGGCGCCATAACCTTGGCAGTATGCTGTCCCCTATCCCCTATACACAGATCTGTGGCTTCTGTAGTTCATTTTCATAGAAGATGGCCTCACTGGTGTTTGACCTTGCTTGGTTTGCTCTCCAGGGTCCCTAAGAAGGGAGCAAATGCTAGTGATCAAATCCCCCAATTTTATAACTGAAAAAACTCAGGTCTAGAGAAAAAGCAGAGAGACCTCAGATAATAGAAAAGAGATGCTGGAGCCCCTCCTGCTCTTGTTCCCAATGAGGGGCTCATAGAAGTAGACAGGTGTTAGAGGTGACCCCAATGCAGAGGACTGACTGACTGAAGCCAGCCAGGCCTGGCCATTCCTGGGAAGCCAAAAGCAGGAAAGAAAGTGTCCTAAGAAAGGACCCACATGGCAATATCAAGGTGGGTGAAGGAGGTATTCTTCGAATTTCCCTTGGAGTTGGGAGACCAGGTGTTGTTCAACCTAATCTGCAGTGCTTAATCCTGAGGTGAGTCCTTACTCCTCTTCAAAGCACCTTGGGCTTTTGCCCATGCTATCATCAATGGCATCAGACACAGCAACCCCCCTTCTTAGCACAATGTTTCTGTTCTAGATGTACAGGGGTGGGGGTGTAGAAGCAAGGTAAGGGGTCTTTGTGGTGACCCAGAGAGGTATTTTTGATGCTGCAGGCTTAGGCCCCCAGGGGAACTGCAGGAAATGTCTAGCTTGCAGGCCCAGGTCTTTCAGTAAAGGTTACCCATCTAGGGATTCAGGATGTAGCTAGTTCCAGGTTTGGGAATGGCAAAGCACAGAGACCCCAAATGACAAAAAACAGCTGCTACAGAAATTTTTCCTCTTTGTGTATGGTAAAAGGTTTAGCCCACAGAGCATTAGGGTCCTCCCAAAGTGTGGGGTGACGTGGGAGAGGACCAGTGAGGTCCCAGGCCTTTCCCCCTGGCTGTGGGGCTCTATCCCAGAGTAGGATAGGATTCAAAGGAAGATTAGTTCCCTGTCAGGGCTGCCCACCCTCTGTAACTAGCTGGTGAGAGGTAGGAAGATCTATAGTGCCCTTTTGCCATGTCTTTAGTGACCGGGACACACAGCTGGTGCGGCTGATGCGGCGGAACAACCTGAACCGAGAGGACGCAGAGGCCCGCATCAATGCACAGCTGCCCCTGACAGAGAAGGCCCGCATGGCCCGCCATGTCCTAGACAACTCGGGCGAGTGGAGCATCACCAAAGGCCAGGTCATCCTCTTGCATGCCGAGCTGGAGCGCTCCCTGGAGTACCTGCCACTGAGGCTTGGAGTCCTCACAGGTCTGGCTGGCATTGTCAGCCTCCTCTACCTGCTCACCCGCTACCTTCTGCCTTACCCCTAGCTGGGCACTCCATGGCAGGAAACCCCAGGCCTCCATCTCCTTGGAGGCTGAAGCCAGGTAACACATCCTGTTTCCTCACATCCTCCTGAAAACACGTGACACATATATGGACACTCTGAATCGGGCTGGGCCCCCTGCAGAGGCAGAGAAACAGCCCACTGTCAGTGGGGCACTTACCCAGAGCGCCTTCCTCCTCTGGTACCACCTATAGAATAATGTCCATGATGGTACATGACAGCAATAGTTAGAGACTGGCAGACTGGGGAACATTGTCTCTGTGGCCCTCACTAGTGTTTAGAGCTGGGAGGCCGAGTGTTCTCTAGGCTTGAACCCCCTCTGAAGATGTTCCCAGTGATGGCCCAGACCTCCTTACTGGACCCTAGGAAATCATTTTGGACAAAGTATTT